TCTGGAGTATTGTCATGCAAATAATGCCTAATCATATATTTCTTTTAGACAGTTCTTTCCCCACATATATTTAAATCCAGTGTTCATTATTTACCTGCTTTTCTTAATTTCCCTCCAACCCCCATGTCAGTCCTGTTTTATAACCCTAGCATTATGCAGTATTTGTCCTTTAGTAACAGAGATATTTCACGAAGATAGATGCAAATTAAAACAACCATGAAATATCATCTAACCCCAGTAACAATAGCAAAGTTAAACAGAACAGCAAAGAACAAATGCTGGCAAGATTGTGGAGAAATTGGAATCCCACTATTGGTGGGAGTGTAAAATGGTGCAATTACTCTGGAAGATAGTATGATGCTTTCTCAAAAAGCTGGAAATAGAAATACCATTTGACTCAGTAATTGAACAACTGGGAATATGCCGAAAAAACCCCAAAACTGCCACCCAAACAGATATATATATATATACACACACACCCATGTTTATTGCTGTGTTCTTCACAATAGCAGTGAGATGGAAGCAACCCAAATGCCCATCAACAAGTGAATGTTTTGGTATATTCATACAATGGAATATTATGCAGCCCTGAAAAACAGGGAACTCATAACATATTATACAAAATAGGTCACCATCTTCTTTTAGTATTTCCTGGATAATTCAATATTTGTCCATGTTGTTGCTATTGTTGTTATGTGCCGTCGAGTCGTTTGCAACTCATAGCAACCCTATGTACAACAGCCCTAAACCATGCTCTATCCTGTGCCAATCTCATTGCCTCCGACAAACCCATCCCGAGTACCCCAGTCACTGAATCAGTCCACCTCATAGAGGGTCTTCCCCTCCTGCGCTGTCCCTCCACTCTACCCAGCATGATGTCCCTCTCTAAAGACCTGTCTCTCCTTACAACATGTCCAAAGTATGTCAGACGAAGCCCCAGAATCCTTGCCTCCAAGGAACAGCCTGGTTTAATCCTCTCTACAATACTCTTCTCCAGCACCACAGCTCAAAGGCGTCAATTCTCCTTCTAGCCTCGCTAATCATTGTCCAACTCTCTGATGCATAACAAGCGATTGCAAATACCATGGCCTGTATCAGGCAGAACTTAGTCTCCAGAGAGACACTGTTGCTCTTCAGTATTTTGGAGAGGTCCCTAACCGCAGACTTTCCCATGGCAATACGTTTTTTTATTTCCTGGCTACTGGTGCCAAAAGTGTTGACCGTGGAGCCGAGCAAACTGAAGCTGTGAACAATCTCAATCTCTTCACCATCCATCCTGATGCTATCGATTGGTCCAGTGGTGAGAATTTTTGTCTTCTTAACATTGAGCCTCAGTCCATAGCATCCTTAAATATTCTAACTTGAGGCTTGAATTTGTTCTTCAGTTCTTTCATCCTGAGAAATGCCAAGCAGTTTTACCCCTTTCGATTTTCTGACTCCAGCTCTCTGCACTTACGAGACGTATGAATGTAAGAAAATTGGAAATTTTTAAGGATGAAATGGAACATGCAAATATTGACATACTAGGAATTGGCAAAATGAGATGAGCTGGCATGGGACATTTTGAATCAGATAACCATATTATCTACAACACTGGAATTGAAAAGGTGAGGAAAAATGGAGTTACACTTAGTTAAAAAGATCATTTCAAGATCTATCTTAAAATGTAATGCTGTGAGTGAGAATGTAATGTTCATACACATACAAGGAAGACATGTTAATACCATTATCATTCATATATATGCACCAACAACCAAAACCAAAGAGGAGGAAATAGACAACTTTTACCAACTTTTGCAGTTGGAAATCTATCAAACATGCAACCAAGATGCTTTGATAATAATTATAATTTAATAATAATTGCTTTGTCTTCCAAAGCTGCCCTTTGAAATCTTCTGTTTAGCTCCTTAATTTCTTCCCTTTGCTTTGACTTCTAGCCACTCTAGTGCAATATTCAGTCCCTTCTGACATCCATTTTGGACTTCCTCCTCTGTTTTTGTAATGACTTTTTGCATTCTTCATGGATGATATTCTTGATATCCTCCCACAAATCATCTGGTATTCACTCGCCCATTAGTATTCAAGACCTCAAAGCTGTTTCTGAGATAGTCCTTAAATTCTAGTGGGATAGACTTGAGGTCAAACTTTGGTTCTTGAGGATTTGGTTTGATTTACTTTAGCTTCAGTTTAAATTTGCATATGAATAGTTGATGATCTGTTCCACAATCAGCACTTGGCCTTGTTTTCTTCCTTGATTGTTTTGTGGTGTTTTTTTTTTTAATTCCAGAAATCAGATGTAGTCAACCTGATTTCTCTGTAGACTATCAGGTGAAGTCCATGTGCATAGTTGCTGTTTTATGTTTCTTATCAAAGGTATTTGCAATGAATAGGTCATTGTACAGAATTCTGTTATCCTCTCTCCAGCCTAATTTCTGTCACCAAGTCCATGCTTTTTGATTGCTGATATTTCTGCCCTGTTCCCAACTTTTGCATTCCAGATGGCATTATTATCAGGAAAACTCAATATAGAGAAAATGACAATCATACCAAAAGCAAATATGCATGTTTAATTCAATCTCAATATAGATGGCACATTAAATTTTCGAAGAAATAGAATAAGCAATTGGGAAATTTACTTGGAAAGGAAAGAGACCTCAAATAAAGAAAAAACGTTGAAAACCCAAAATGAAGTAGGAAGTATCACACTCCCTGATCTCAAAAACTACTACACAGCTGTAATAACCAAAACAGCATGACACTGGTACAGTGAAAGACTATACACAATGGAACTGAATCAAGAACCCCAAAATGGACTTATCTATCTGCAGTCAACTGTTATTAAACAAGAAAACAAAATCTGTCAAATGGGCCAGTGATACCTTCTTCAACCAATGGTGCTGGCAAAACTTAACTTCTAACTAAATAAAGCTGAAGCAGGATCCACATCTCACACCACACACAAAAATCAACTAAAGTTGGATCAGAGACATAGAGGTAAAAGCCCAAACCATACACATTTTAAGAGACAAAATGGGACAATATTTAGAAGCCCTAACCTATGGTATAAATAGGCTGACACATATAAACAGAAATGCACAAGAAGAGGATAACATTGATGAATGGAACCTTCTAAAGATTAAGTACTTGCAAACATAAAAAACTTTTTCCAATAGGATGAAAAGAAAATCTATTGACTTGGGGGCGGGTAACGCACTGGACAATGCCACCTCAGACAAAAGTCTGTAGCAAAAGTTTACAGAATACTATATGGCTACCACAAGAGAAAGATTGACAACCTAATCACTAAATAAGCAAGAGACATAAACACTTTGACAAAGGAAGAAATTTGTATGGTCAGTAGACACATGGAAAAATGCTCAAATTCACTGGCAATAAGTGAGATGAAAATAAAAACCACAATGTGATGATACCATCTCACTCCAGTAACAATGTCAAAATTCAACAGGACAGCAAGAAATAAATGTTGGAGCAGATGTAGAAAGATTGAAACTCTCATATACTGTAAGTGGGATTGTAAAATGATGCTATCACTTTAGAAGGCAGTTTGGCCTGTCCTCAAAAACCTGAACATAAAAATTCCCTACGACCCAGTTATTCCACTACTAGGAATATACTCCAGGGAAATGAGAACTGAGACACAAACAGAGATTTATACACCAATGCTTATAGCTGCATTAGTCACAATAGTAATAACATGGAAACAGCCCAAATGTCTACTAACAAATGAATGGATTGAGAATGGATATGATACATACACATGATGAAATACTATGTAGCTCCCAGGACCAATAATTTAAAAAAACAAAAACAGAAATAAACAATACTATTTAATATGGGAGAGGGTATAGAGCATTACAAGAACTGAACTAAGTTTCATAAGGACAAATATTGCATAAGACCATTTTTGTAAAAATGGAAGAATAACTAGTAAGATGTGGATAAAAATCCAAAGGGGGAAGTGGGGAGGGAGAGGAGAATAGAGTATGGCAAGGGAGGGAAATCATGGGGTCACAGAGTTTGATAAGCAGAGGGAGGGTGTCAAGGAATTAGGATAGATCTTGTATAGAATTGAAAAGATGGGGTGACAGTGGACATAGATCAGTGGAAATTAATTTTATAAAACACTGTATGGGAATAATCGTATGAAACACAATGTGAAGGAAGGAAGGTGTGAAACACAATGCACATAAATAAAACACAATGTATAAGAATTTTATATGCAAATCAACATACAATAAGGAAATACAGTAAAAACAAAATTATAGCCAGAAAAAAAATAACAGAAAGCAGTTATACTTTGAAACAGTTGGTGTGTTCACTTTTTAAATTAACTGCATTTAAAAAAAATCCTTGTACAACGTAAGATAGATAAAAGGTAATGTATCTTTCTTTCTGTTTTGAAACCTTGCCAATGGGTCCCCATTATGATTTTTCCAACTACATGCCTCGAGTGAAGCAATAAGGCACATAGATGTGAGTTTGAACAGTGTGTTCTAGGACAGGGAGAATTTATCATCTCTACATTTCTTATCTCTGCATTATCATTCATCATCTCTACATCATCTTCATTCATCATCAGCAGAAACAAGAGTCTAGCCATCCTCCTGAAAGTCCAGATGGATAATCTGAACTTGACTCACAGAGGACATCAAGCCTATTTTTCCAGAAGAATGACACAATGAAACTGCACTTCAGAATCATTTTCTTGGGTTTAGGGAGCTCTGGTGCCTTAATGTTAAGGTGTTGTGCTGCTAACCCAAAGGCATGGGGTTCGAGTACACCAGCTCCTTCATGGGAGAAAGAAAGGCAATCTCCTTTTGGGTGATTGTGCCTCTAAAAACTTGCTGTAGCTATGAGTTGATTTTGCCTTGATAATAAACAACATTTTGGGCGTTGGACTAAACCATCTCAGGTCTTGGAGGGTAGCATGAGACCAGGCCCTTGCAAGCCTCACTGTACACTCCCACAATCCCACTTACCTTATACCCTTGGTATACATCTTCAACAAGAGCTGTGGTGTGTCCTTTGTGCTGTGCTATCCGCTCACAGCGCCAACAAATGAGCTGGCCATCGTCTTCACAAAATAAATGGAGCTGCTCTTCATGTTTACCACACACCATTTCAGGGCTCATCTCCTTAAAAGCTTCAATGAGACTTCCCAGCTGTTTGTTGGGCCGGAGGCTTGACATTTGAAATGGGGCCCGGCACTGGGGACAGAAATACTTCTCTTGCTGTCCCTGCATGTGGTTTAGGTTCTCATGTAAGTCCACAATGCACTGATAACAGTAGCTGTGTCCACAGCTGATGCTTGTTGGGTTAACCATTAGGTGTAGGCAGATGGCACAGGTGGCTTCTTCCCTCATCTTTTTGGCTGGTGTAGCTGAGGCCATGGCTTTAATTTAAGAAACACCAAAAGAGGACCTAGAGACAGATAAAGCAGCCAGATTTTTCCCACAGTGATGAGAATATACTTCACCAGAACCTCTGTAGGGAATGCTGATAGCAGAGTTAGTAGGAAGTTGTGTTGCTGACCCTAAGATTGTGCCCCTTTGTTTGAATCCACTAGAAGCTCCAAGGGAGAAAGATGGACAATCTCCTCTTGGGCGATTTATAACTTCTGAAAACCTGTAGAGGGTTAGCTATGAGTCTGTTCCAATTCAAAGGCAATGAGTCAGAACTCATTTTATTAGCCACTGGCTCCCAAGGGTCTTAAAATCTCTCTAGAGACAAAGAATGGATCTGAATCTAGAAGATGTATATCTAGCTGTGTTGTCTAAATGCTGTCTATTATCACATGTGGCTATTTATATGAATTAAAATGGAATAAAAGGAAAATGTAGTTTACTGTTAGTAGAAACTTTAGAAGTTAACTATGAGTTCAACAGCTATATAGATTTTGATATTTTTTCAAGAGCTACATAACAACCCACATCTAGAAAGTTCTGTCACCGTAGAATGTTCCTTTGGACCTAGATCTTAAAGAGATAAGAATTAGGTTTCCTCACAGAAGAGAGAAATGAATGAAAGAGTGTGAAACTTCTCCCATTCTAATGAACATCAACAGTAACTATTACCAGAATGATTCCTTTTTAACCAGCAGTAACATTTAGGAAATTGTATGATCTGGTTTGTGATTTTTCATTACAACCATCACTTCACTTTCACACTCACATATCTCTCTACCCTGCTACCATCCCAAGAAGAAAAAGAAAAAAGTCTCACTGTATTAGTGCACTTAGAGAAGACTGGGGAGGGGGAAGGGGAAATGAGTGAGAACCCTGGCAACCAGAAAAACTTGTTTTTCCTTTTTGTTCAGCCTCCCCTGGTGGTACTTAAAAAAGAAAACAAACAAAAACACCACAAAGGCAAAGTCATTGCTATCAAACTCAGTATGACTCCTAGTGACTCTATAGGACAGAGCAGAACTGACCCTCATGGCTTCCAAAAGAAACAGGCTGTCTTATCTTTCTTCCCAGCCCCCTCAGCAGAGGGGCTGGTGAGTTCAAACTGTTAACTTTGGTTAGCAGCCAAGAATTTAAGCACTGTCATAAGGATTCCTCTCTTAAAGAGAGAGAGAGGGGGGAGAGGGTTGGTTCTGGGGTTTTTACTGTCCCTTTTCCAGGCCACGATGTTTCCTGAGAGAAGTCCTGGAAGATTGGAACACAAGGAATTTAAAGAATTCGTGGGCAAACTTGGCAGAACAATGTGGGAGAGAAGGAAGAAAGGCACTTGAGGGTAACCCAGTCTTTGTGGGATCTCTGATGCTACACCCCATATACTCATTAAAAAGACCCCAAAACCAGAGGCAGCTCAGAAGCAAAGGAATCTGCCCCCTTAAACCTTGCTGCAATGGTTCTGGAACCTAGTCTGGCTCCTCTTTTCTCACTCTTGGGCTTTTGGAGAGTTTGGTGGGAGGAAGGAAACTTAAAGAGTGATCTTTTCTTTGGACCGCCAGTGTCTGGAATTAAAAAAAAAAAAAAAAAAAA